AAAATATAAACTGACTATATATTGGCATATATTTAAATACTAAATCCAAAGTATAATTTAACTACTAAACTTAAATTATTAGTTAACTTGGCTTCGCACTATTCGAAATTCTAATACGTAACAATACCTAAAATATAACTAACTGATAAATGAAGTTTGTGACTGATTGTCCTTACCTGGTTAGGTATGTCAACTCGACATCCAAAGGCACACAAATTCTGAGCTAATGGTAAGAGGCCTTCTCTGGCTACAATGTGGATTGGGGCTTCACCATGCTATCCATATTCAACAAAATATTTCTCATTACATTATACACTAAAGTGATAACATTCTAACATACTCATAACATTAACAAATTTACCTAACACAAAATGTGCAAAATCACATAAGTCTGTGCCAACTGCTTAATTAGATTCACAAAATATTCATTAACGAATACTAATCTATTCACAGTTACTATAAGGAATAGATTAAGCTCATTTTGACTTTTTTAGCTGCTTTTAAAACTGGAAAACTCTTAAGTAATTAAAACAAATGGATGAACAAAGAAATGTGTACTTATCTGAAAAAATTGGTAAGTTGTGTAAATAAAAATCCTCAGAATGGCTTTATTGACAAGATCTATTAATGTCTACAGATACACTGAGCTTGTTTGGAACATACAATTAAAAAAGATAAATGAAAACACCAAAAAAAATTGGTGAGACTTCTTAAAAAACATTTCTGCATTAAATTATAATATGTTTTTCACGTATCCAATGACTTTGGGTTTTAATACTTGCAAATGATAAACCATAAAATTTAAAGACTCAAGATTTTCTAATCATAATTTTGTTTTAAGTGGCAACCCCAATATTGCAAATGAAAGATTTACCAAATAATTAAAACGTTATTCATACAACTAAAACATTTCACTTCAATAACCACAGCAATATTAGATTCAGAACACATTAAAAAATAACACTCAACCATCAGAAAAATAGGATTATCTGGTTTAATGAACAAAACATGGAATAACTTATCAATTTGATATTTTTGTTTTCACAGGGATGATAACAGTAAATTAAATGTTTGGCTGGGCCTGGGTACCATAGAGGACTATGCTCTACCTGTTGCATTCTGGGCCATTTTAGGCCACTAAATATTCCCATTATTTATTGCTAAAAAATTAGTAAATATTGGAATTTGTAACTTTTGCTACTTTAATTCACGTTCCAATGATAAAAATTACAGACCAGTTAATGAAACTGGTCATTTCATGAAATATTGAGGCAATACTTATACAATCAGTTTCAATCGACATTTAGCTGTGTTTTTTACATATATTTACTTTTACATTAAGAAACTAACTAATGTATAATACTAAAATTTGTATTATAATCTACAATTTCACACCAAACTTATTCACATAGATTCATAAAATATTAGTACATCAAATTTTGATTGCAAGTCGACAAACGAGATCACATGGCCTTTGACAAGTGACCCATCGAGATAGGGTTAAATACGTGTGTGAATATAACCTTTAGAAAAGTAACATACATATTAGCATGAAGTAGTCACAATAGACATGTAGCTATTCAAAAGCTGCTACTTCGAATAGGTAATGCAACGGGTATCAGACCACAAACAATAGAATGAGTAAAGCTGGAGCCTTGTGCTCTTTACAGATGAATTAAAGTCTGAAATTGTTAGCCAATGAGTTTGTTCAATGGTAGAGAGACAAACAGCATTATTGTCTATGTACAACATCTATAGTGAAGCATGGTGGGAGAACAGTACAATGCTGGGACTCCATCTCAGCCAATAGTATTAGTGATCATCATAAAACTGATGGCATCCTGACTGCTGACAACTACATACAAGTTCTGATCCATCATGTCATTCCCTCAGGAACCTAACTCTTTGAGCAAGGATTCATCTTCTGGTAAACTGATGTTCCAAAGCATACAGTAAATATGTTGAAACAATATCTTGAAAGTAAAGAGGCTAACAGAACACCTACAATCATAGTTTGATTATCACAAAGTCCCATTATGAACATTATTGAAACTGTGAAGACTTATAAAAATTGACAAGATCAAAAAGCAACAGAACTGAATTGTGGAGAGCAATACAGGTCCTTTGGATTAATGTTCCACAGTTGTAAATTGATAAACTGTATAGCAATATGAAACAAGGAGTAATGCTTTGTGTGAAGCAAAGGGCTCTCATAAACAATACTAAAGCAATGTATGACTTATTCAGTTGTCTTTTCAGTGATAATGTTTGGTACCATTAATAACTTCACCATCTACTCGTCATACTCATTGTTTGTGACTCCTACACATGCATCACTTGTTTTTTCATAATTATTTCTATTACTATGTGTATATATATTCATACATATCATATCTTTAGAATTTTGTAATTTATTAGATAACTTTATATAAGACATTATGGAAACCCAATACTAAAACAATAAGGTTACAAAAATTCTAAGTGATATTTTTTATTACTGTGTGTTTATATTTATATATATATATATTTTTTTTTTTCTTCTCACACACACATATATCTTCCACTCTGACAATCATGAACAGTGTAGTTCAACAGAAAGACTCACATGATCCACAACATCTACTTGACAGCTTGCCTGCAATAATAACATGGCCACAACTACATGATGTCTTCTTGTAGCTAAATGGAGTGGAGTGCAACCATTCTACAGGAAAAGATTCATATTTATTTTGTAGTAAAATCAATGACTTTATTTACAATCTGTTTTTTTTATAAAATTAGTAGTAAAATGTTTACAAAAATAAATCCTCTTCAAAATAAACAAAAAATAAAATTTTGCACATTCTTAAAATGTATGTAATGGAAATCAAAACACAGATTTTTTTCTTCTATTAATAAGACTGTATTTAACAATTATGTAAATATGAATGATGGTATTAATAATTTTATAATGGAGCTTGTTGGTTACTGAGAGATACAGTTATAGACAACAGAGATACTTAAATACTGAGACTACTTTGTACAATAACTTTTGATACATCACATATTTAATATAACTGGTGAAATTAGTAAGCAATAGTGCAAGTTCAGCAAATGCTACTATGTATACAACTGTAAATATAGATCATTATGATGTCAGTTAAAGAAGAAGAATATACAGGAAGCCACAAGTCATAAAATAATGATTGGTTTTGTATATTTTCTACAATATTTACTAATGTACCTTGTCAAGCAAATTCACATCAGCACCTGCTTCCAATAAGCAACGCACACTCTCTGCATGACCTCGAGCTGTAGCACAATGAAGAGGGGTTTCTTCTTCCTAGAATATAATCAGATTAGGTAAACACAGGAAAAGATATTGAGTGTACATTAAAACTCTGTCAGAAGCTCTGATAAATAAAACTAAAAAACATGAGTAATGAATAAAATTCAAATAACATTATATAATGAACTTCAAATTCTAACACTTACCTAGTTTTATATGTGGTTACATTATTTGAAATTCTTATGTATTGGAATGTCCTTTTTTTATAAAAAAATCAATTAAATGTTTATAGATTATAGAAAAAAAAAGCCTCAATAATCTTGCAAGCTTTCGCAAACTTAAGAAAAAGGAATATCTCTCCTTAAATGGATAAAGAAATATAAGTTTTTTATAGCAAGGTTTCTGTATAGTACAATGATTATAACATATCTGACAATATGATAGATTTTACTAAAACTACCAACAAAAAACACTGTTCAGCTTACATTTATAAAGTTTTTTATTGAAAATTAAAATAATACAACACTAAATAAGGAATAAATAAAAAAAGGCATTTCTTCTAAAAAATAATGATTATCTCAACAGTTTAAACAAATATATGCCATATTCTGTGATACAGACCTTGTTTTTTAAATTAGGAGAAGCACCTACTTCACAGAGAACAAAGACAATCCTGGGAAAACCATGCCATACAGCAATGTGCAGAGCAGTCTCACCATGCTGAAATAACACACTGGAATTGACCACGGTTTATCTACTATTCAAACATGCAACATTCCAAATTAAACAAGATCTCAGAAAATCAACTATGTTATTTTAACCTCTGTGTGTTTGTTAATTGAAAACTCGATCAAATAAATGTATTAACCATACAAAAAAAAAATCTAACTCAACTGAAACTGAATTAAAATGCTTACTACCACATTATATGATACAATGCAGAGTAAAACTGAATTAGATATTGCAATAACTGAATAAATAAAATAAGGGTTTAGCATATAATACTTCTATAAATAAATGAAAGTTTAACACAGAATCAATAAGTAAAATTAAGGTAATTTCGAGACAAAATTAGATTTCAAGTAAGAAGTTGTGTTAGAAAACTTTGCTGATAAGAAAATTAATACTGATTTTTTGGTGTGACCGTGTGATAAAATATTAAGTAAAATACTTTGTATTAAAATGAAATCATTAGATGCTTGAAAAGCAAAACTAACTTTAAAATTAAGAAAATAAATAAATAAATGAATAACTAAAGATCAGGAACAGAGCTGACCTCATCAGGCATGTTATAGTTGGCACCAAACTTGCACAGTAGTTTTAATGTGTCACTGTGTCCATATCGGGCTGCTACATGTAGAGCTGTTTCACCCGCCTACAGTAGAACATTTCAAAAGCTTAAGTAATAATGGAAATTAATTAGTGCTTCTTTCAGTACTTGCAATTAGATCCGTTTAACAGTCGTAAATTATTCTTGTTGAAAAAAATATTATTCAACTAATATTTTTATTTCAAATAAAAAAGTTCAGTTTGTTATCACAATAAACTCACAAACCTTATTCTGTGTATCAACAGAAACTCTTTGTTCAAATAAGTATTTGATGACTTCTGAATGACCTTGTCTTGCAGCCCAATATATGGCACTATCACCATGCTACGAAAAATAAAAGTTCACAACATTTACTCTTCACAGATATCAAGATAATCCAATATAGAATCCTTATCTACATTTATTGATAAAGTAACAATCACATAATGAGAAAGTCTATAAGTTATCAAACTCTATAATAATTCTTGATACTTTTCAAAATGAATAATCTATGAATAATATATTTCATAGCCTTTTTTTTTTAATAATAAGTTTATAATAAGTGTAACCTTTAGTAATATTCTGAGTATGGTCACTTTTTTGTTCATAGAATATTTAAAGGTGCAAAAATAATTACTTACTGAATCTAACAAACTAATATCAGCTCCATGTGAATGTAGAAACTTAACAATTTCCAGTTGTCCTAGGCCAGCTGCTATGTGGACTGCTGTCTCCCCATGCTAAGAAAAACATTATTTAAAACTAATAATAAAATATTGAACACATAATATATACTGGTGAAACACTAAAAATATTTTGAAACCTTTGAGTTCCTCATTACAATAAAGTCCAAACCATTTTGTTTAAAATCAACTTTAATTTCTATTTTTGAATATTCCTATATCTGCTCTTCTCTATATTGCACACAAGAAATTATATTAGGTCATCAAGAAATTAATGTTGCATTTTGGAACACTTTCATTAACCAACTCATAAAAAACGTACATCACCTATAATAGTTAGATGAACTGCCTAAACGTCACGTTAGTGTAGCCCATATAATGTGTTAAGTTTAGTATACTCTAATCATTTAAAGTGTTGGCATATGACGAGACACACATTCGGCATGTAATGCTGTTTGAATAAAGAAAGGAAAAGATGCCTCTGTAGCCACAAAGAATATCAAAGAAGTTGATGGAAATGTTTCAAACATTCATAAGTGTCAATGATGGTTCAGCAAATTTCGTTCATGTGACTTCAGCCTTAAAAATTGTGATGGCAGGGGCCGGCATGTTGGAATTAATATTGATGCTTGTTGAGTCTAACCCAAGATAACACACTTGTGAAATGGTCCTGAAATTGCATATCTCTCATGAAACAATATGTAAACATCTAAGGAATATGGGCAAACTTCATAAAGAAGGTATTTGGGTGCCTCAAGAACTCTCCTATGATCATCGTTTCCAACTTGTGAACGTTGCTTCATCTCTTCTGGCACATGATGCGCATGAACCATTTTTGGACAGAATTGTCACATGTGAAGAAAAATGGATTCTCTATGTGAATATTAAATGATAAAACAATGGTTCAGTCCTAGACAAAAACCACTTCTGACCTCCAAACCTAGACTCTATCCACAGAAAGTGATATTTTGCATTTGGTGGGACATGAAAGGAGCAATTCATTTTGAATTCCTCAATCCACAGTGAGCTTTCAATGCAGAGATCAATGGGTAAGAAACTGGAAAGTTTAAATCAAGCT